GGTAGAAAAGTCCCTGTGAGACTCTTCAATTAACTACTCAAAAACCGGAAGTGGTGCTGTGCCTCAAAAGTGGTGGGGTGCTAGCCTTGAGCAAAAGAGCTCAGGGACAGTGTCTAGACCGAGTTCAAGCTCCACCACTGACAAAACAAAACAAAAAACCCCAAAAACAAAAACCGTCCCAGCTGACCAGCCACAGGCAGTGTCAGTGACCAGCCTCAAATGCAAAACCTCCACCTACTTCCTGAGACAGAAGAGACCCCAAGCAAGAGCAGCCTACCCTAGCCAACCCTCCCAATCTGGAGAGAACAGCTTAGTGTGGTGGCACACTCCTGTAATCTTAGCACTTGGGAGGTGGAGGCAGAAAGATGGTGAATTCAAGGCCAGCCTTGACTACACAGTGTGTTGGAGGTTAGTCTGGGCTACGTTGTGGGGAGACTTCCAACCCTCTCTCCTGAAAAAGGAGAAAGAATACAGGTATAATAATCAGTTAGGGGCTGGGAAAGTGGCTGTTAGCTCTAATTTACCCTATCAGTGGCTCAGTGGTAGTGTTTGCCTTGCATGAAGGTCCTGGGTTCGATTCCTCAGCACCACATAAGCACAAAAAGCTGGAAGTGGCGCTGTGGCTCAAGTGGTAGAGCGCTTACCTGGAGCTGAAGAGCTGAGGGACAGCGCCCAGGCCCAGAGTTCAGGCCCCACGACCGACAATAATAATACTAATGATAATAACCATCATCACTGTTATTCAAGCGTCAAGTTTTGTGAGTGATTCATTATTCAGCCGTAGACCCGGGAAGCCTGCTCATGGCTGTTGGCTGCGGGACGTTGATGCCTTCCTTTCCACATTTCTAAGATTTCTACGGTGGCCATTTTTTTGATGATCAGTTAAAAAACAAGAAATAAAAATAACCTCTAACGTCCCTGCCACTTAAAGAGAAAAATGAGGTCTGGACCTAGAGGACGCCTGCAGTGCGCCCGGCTGTCCCGTGAGCAGGAGCCAGGGACACGGGGCCCCGCCCCGCTCCAGCCCTGCTCCCGGGGATCGCAGCCCCCCCCCCCCCGCCCCCGGGCCCAGCCCGGGAGGGCACCGCGCCGCTGCAGCAGGCAGGCCAACTCCGCCCGCCCCGGGAGCGGGATCCCCAGCGCCCCCCCCCCCGGGGAGGGGCCGGGCGAGGGGAGGGGCGCAGACAAAGGAAAGGCGGCGCCGCGCCTCAGTGGACGCGAACCTGTGTCCTGGCAACCCCGCTGCGGTGGCGGTTGCTGGTGGCCGCGAGGTGCCTTGGCTCTCGGGACTTGGTGGCAGTTGGTGCTTGGGTCTCGGTGGTCGTCTCCTCCTCGGTGCAGGCTCCTGGGTGACCCAGTACCCGGAGGGCCAAAACAGGTGGGCTGGGCCTCCAGACCGAGAATCCGAGGCCTGCCCT